TTTTTTTATATTAATAAGGGTAATTTTGTATTTTTAGGGTGAATTTGGGTTTAGTAAATGAGTATTTTAATTTATAGGTCAATCGGACTAGTTAAATTTCCGACCAGTGCCAAAGCTCCAACTCCCGGGACTTTCAACGGCGGTTAAATGCCTGAAAGATTTCTATTTTCTGTGTCTAATTAGTGTCCCCTCCAAGTCCCAAACCTCTCACCTTATGCGATACTGCATTCCAGTCCTAAATGGATTAAGAATTATTCGAGAATTAGGGTTTCAATATCTTCGTTTCGCGGGGAGATGGCTCGGCAGATGACGTCTTCTGCTTTCCACAAATCCAAGACCCTCGACAACAAATACGTAGGCTTTGCTATTTTCTCCAGACTTGTTTTTCACATTAAAATAACGGTAATGCATTTTGTATTCTATGTACTTTTATTATTTTTTTTCTTCATTGCAGATGCTTGGAGATGAAATTGGGAAAGGAGCTTATGGAAGAGTGTACAAGGGTTTGGACTTGGAGAATGGAGATTTTGTGGCAATCAAGCAAGTCTCTCTCGAGAACATTGCTCAGGAGGATCTTAACATTATTATGGTCTTTTCTTTCCCTCTTTCATTTACTGTTGGCTGTCATCGTAGCAACTGTTTCTGCTACTATATATATACATACATAAATACAATGTAATTTTCTTTTGGGCATATGGACTCACTCTGGTTGCTTTTCTTTCATTTTGCATAACTTTGTCCATTTTCTGCCGATGTGATCTGACAGCAAGAGATCGATTTGCTAAAGGTAAACATTATGTTTAATATGCTCATACTATGGAGTAAATGCACCATGAGGTATTAGTAATGCATTACCTAACATCCTCTAAATTCATGATACATAAACTTCTCTGTAGAATATTTGTCCGCATTCCTGTAGCCGACTTGTTTTGTTCTCTTCATTACGTTATTTATGGATTCAGGATTCTTCAGGATTCATATATGCGAAAGTTGACATAGCTGGTTTCTGGAAACCCCTCTTAAATTAACTTATAGGTGTATAAGAGAAGACAAGTTGTATGTTTAGTAGTCAGTCAGTTTTCTCAAATGGACTAGAATAATAAGAGTCCATTTAGGAGGAATGTGAAGCTGTGACTTGTTGATTTCTTTTCTATCAGTTCTACAAAATGGGAACTAAAATGTAAGCATACCAAATATTTTGAGACATAACCACTTGTTGAAAGTCCATATTAATCAGTCCATCGTACGAGTGCACTTTCATTTTGAAGGTGTTCCCAAACATGCTCAAATTGCCGACCAAATATTTTCATGTTTTACTTTCTAGCACCCATATAAGGCTGTAGTGATTGTGTCAGAATGTGGTTTATGCTTTCAACATTTCTGTTGGTATTTTCTTTAAATTGCGATGAAGTGGTTCTACTTGTACTATTATTGATATGTGGTCTTTCTCTTGCAGAATTTGAATCATAAGAATATCGTGAAATATCTTGGATCGTTGAAGACCAAAAGTCATCTTCACATTATACTTGAGTAAGTCAAGATTCTAACTTCGTCACCACATCTGTACTTCATCAATTTCCTTGCAAGTGTATTGAAAAATGGGGGTATTTATTGTAATAATATTTTTTATTTTTTGAAGGTATGTGGAGAATGGTTCGCTTGCAAACATTATTAAACCAAACAAGTTTGGCCCTTTTCCAGAGTCCTTGGTGGCTCTCTATATATCCCAGGTTTCAGAATTGCTCTCATACTTCATAAGTGGTTCTGTTTATATGTTTATGTTTGTGATATTTGGCAGAATTATGTAATCAGGTATTGGAAGGTCTGGTATATCTACACGAACAAGGTGTAATTCATCGAGACATCAAGGGGGCAAATATTCTGACGACAAAAGAGGTATACTTATCTTTTAGACTGTTTATTATTTCACTTTGTGTATGTTAGTTTATCCAGAATATCTGCTCTCTCTCTCTCTCTCTCTATCTCTCCCTCTCTCTCTCTCTCTTTATATTGTCTGTTAACATTATATGTGAATCCTTGAATAAAAATGGTTTTTATTATTTTTTTAACAGATATATGTGGACTCCTTATTTGTGTTCTTTGGTTGCTATTTTTTTCAAACTTGTCTGTGCTACTGTATGCACTGCCATGTCTTTTTCGTCATTGTTTTTTCATAATGAATTTGAAGCCTGTTGAAAAGATAGTTCCTTGATCTAACTTCATCTTTCAGGGACTTGTGAAACTTGCAGACTTCGGAGTTGCGACAAAACTAACTGAGGCAGATGTTAATACACATTCTGTTGTTGGAACGCCTTATTGGATGGCCCCTGAGGTATGTTACCCCTTGTTTTGGTCATATGGGGTTCCTCCTCCTCTCTCTGCATATGTACATGTGTGTGTGTGTTTGTATCCCTCTTTCAATCTCTTTAATGTGTGTGTGTGTGTGTAAATAAATAAATAAAATGATTCAACATATATTGTATCTGCTTGTCGTTATTATGTATGAAGTGACTTGACTCTTTCTAGAGTTATGTAAATAACAACTGGGTTTAAGCTTGTTTTAAGATTCAGTTAGCACAGACGCTGGAAATTGCCTACACTAGCTAGCTATAGATGAATAGAAACAGGATTGGGCGAGTTCTGAGGCTGCATGGGTGTAACATTTAAGATGTTTTGGATGTGATTTCGTTTCATTCATTTGGCATCATGTGTAGTTAGCATATGTTGTCAGAATATGGTGGTTTTACCACAATGTGTGCAACCAGTATTTCGTTATAGGGCAGACAGTGACAATTTCATAGTCAAGAGAAATCCTGTACCATGGTTTAATATCAAAAAGTCAGGCCAAATAATTGAAGGGGCTATATGAGTTGGTTAATATAGCAGATGAAATGATAAACCAAGAGTAACGTTTTGCCTATTAACTTTATTATCTGACTTGTCTATGTCGATGAATGTGGTACATGGTTGCTGCACTTAGCTTTGATCAGATTCTTTTTTCTGGTTCACTCATTGCTCTCAGCACTGGTGTTGTTAATCATTTTTTAAACAACCAATTTAAAGAGTTTAAAATATAAAAACTTTTAATTAAAGAGAAGAACACATAAAGTTGATAAACTGCTCATCGAAATTCATGTCAGTATACTTCTTAATCGAATTTTTATGTTGCGTTCTTCCGTCCTTAATTTTTTTCACTTGTAGGTCTCATTTATCTCTCTTTGGAATACTGTAGCTATAGTCTTACAGTAACCTTGTCTTACACTTGTCTTAGTTTTAAGCAATAAAATACAGATTGACACATGACCCCCTAACTATATGTGTTGTCACCTGCATGACTCGTCCAGCTGTCTTTATTGACAGCTCCTGCTTCTTCTAAGTCAGCATGGTTGGCTTCTGGAAATAGGCCTTCTTTTGCCAATATGCCAAGTTTTTAAGTAGATCCCCTATTTTAGTGTCTGATCGAGCTTGTGGTCTTCTTAGGTTGGCAACTACAATGTTTACCGACCTTCTTTAGTTAAAACTTAAATACTTCTGCCACATGTTGGTCGTTTATTAGTTGTAGCCATATCGGTATCAACAACTGGAACTTGTGTTTCTTCTTTAATTGGGATGGATGTGATAGAGACTAGAGAGTGTACCAATGTAATTTAATTACGGGAAAATGCAACATTTCCTTCCATATTAATTTGGACTATAAGGTGTTTCTTTTTGGAACATCTGTTTTATATTTACAAAGACCCTGTTCCATCATCTAATTTTGCAAGTTGAGGGACACAATCAAGTTATAACCTTATGAGCAACAAACATCCATTTTTGCTCAGAAGAGGCTGTTTAGGTACACTACTTTTCAGGGAATGCTGGTTTATTTTTCATGCATGCTTGCTTCTATTCTGTTGGGGAACAAGAATTTTGCTGTATTGTGTAATATGTCTCGGCACGAGAAATACTTGATCGTGCATATTAGACCAGTAAATTGTAAGTATGAATTGACTCTGAGTGACAGAATTGTTAGTGAAGTTTCTGGGTTGTCAAATTGCAGGTCATTGAAATGTCAGGAGTTTGTGCCGCATCTGATATTTGGAGTGTCGGATGCACGGTGATTGAACTTCTCACGTGTGTTCCTCCATATTATGATCTGCAGCCCATGCCTGCCTTGTTTAGGATTGTACAGGTACAAATCAGGTCCACCTTTCCGTAGTCATCATCCGTGTGTTGCCTGTGAGCATTCTCATGCCTTGCATTTTATTGTTAACGGACATTAAAAATTATTTTTCCTGTTCACTCATTAAATTGATTATTTTTCTCAAAACAAAGTATTGAAGTGATAATGAACCATGTGAGCATACCAGGCATTAGGCAAGTATATGAATTTTGAAGTCTACAGCTGCAATTGCTCAAACTTTGTTTAAGGTTGCACGTCATTTCTTTTTTTCCAGGATGAGCATCCTCCAATTCCAGATAGTTTATCTCCAGCTATCACTGATTTCCTGCGTCAGTGCTTTAAAAAGGTAAGGCGTAAATTGAGTGCGCTGTATTTTGTTATGGTTTCCCTTGTCTTTTCTCTTTGTTTATTTTGTCAGGCATGTTTATCGTTTCTTGATTGAGTTATAGTCCTTGCTTATTGTGCATGTGTGTGTGTGTTTTCTCCTGGGGAGGCACCAAGCTCATAAATCATGATGGAAACCAAACTGAAACTTAATTGATATCTGGAAATTACAAGAATAATGAAGATTAATGTTTTGGTTTCGGGCATGCCTAAATGTTGTTCAACTTCTCAACTTACGAAACTTTGAAGTGTTTGAGACAACAATGAAAATTGTAGCAACTTTTATTTAATTCACGAACCAGAGAATTAAGAAAATATAGGATCCCCATTTCCTCAGACTCTCTCCATCATCCTCTTGACTCTTTTTAACCTCCACTTTTGATCCTCACTAATTTTAATCCTGGTGCTAAAAGTACTTAAGGTGGGTTTGGTTGCAATAAGGATTGAGCCTGATATAATCTTCTTGATTTTTTCAGAGACTGTCAACCAATTCAATTAGCCCATTAACTTGTTTAGTTTAGGGTTGATAATTAATTAATTATATTCTTTAGGTTGAAATTACTTTTGTACCCTTCACTTAAAATTAAATTTTCAGATTTTGCCCCAACACAGTAAACATGATTATTGCCGCCGAATCTGTCTCACTTACCTCGCTCGGTTGTTTCGAACCCTATCCTCCAACCTACGCCGTCAATTCCACCCCTCCTAAGGCGACGTGGCCTTAATCCTATCCCCCAACTCCATCCACATCCCCTCCTCCGCCTCGCCTTGCTCTCTCTCGGTGTCGTCATTTGTACTTCCAATCCCGTTATTTCCGCGGCTGAGATCTCCTGCCAGATTCACATCACCAAACCTGCAATTGCCTTCGCTGCCCCATATTGCTCATCCAAATTGCCTCCCTTACGCCCCGAGTACAGTCTTGCTCGACTCTCTCGACTTTGGCTCCCTTCTTCTTCCCAGATCCGGACCTTCCCAGAGTCCGGTTAGTGCCGGCGTGCTTTAGAGCGACGATCGGGAGGATCAAGGGCGTAGAGCGATTAGGGTTAGAATTGGGGAAATCGCAAGTGGATGGGTTTGAGCTTCTTGCATGTTGGGATTAGGGATATTTATGTAATAAAACATCTTATAAGTGCAAAATGATATGTCATCCCGCCAAAAGGGTGGGATGTGGTATGAACATTTTGAAGGATACCTATGCTGGCATATCGGGTTTTACAGGGCTTTATTATACAAATCAGACACATTAAAGGGTTGGATACTTAAACCAATGGTGTGATATCCTGCCTTATCTTGCCAACCAAACGCACCCTTAGTGTTTTCTGTTTGTTGTATCATATGTAAATCATCAGATCTCCAAGTGCTTATAGTGGACTGGTATGGCAGAATGGTATTTGATAGAAAACGGAATGAATTGAGAAAAGGAAAAGTGATGGTAAATGAGTGATAAATATATGAAGATTGACGTGTTTGGTATTCTTTAAGCATTGGTATGCCACAATTTTTTTTAAGATTGGGTTATATTTATGTATTATTTTCATTTTAATTATTATTATATTTTGTTACTTATATGTAGAAATTTTTATATTTTTCTATATAAAATATGATTTTATGTTGTATTTTAAATTTCTGTGTATTATTAATTATCTATATTATTTTCATATTGCACTTTATTATCGTCATATGTTTTTAACAAGTAACAAAAAATTATTACTAATAAACAAAGAAAGTAATTTCAACTACTTAAGATAGTTAAGATGTATATTAATGCAAATATCTGTATCTATCATATAACCATAGTGTAAGTAATCATCATTTAAATTGTTATAATTATGTTAATAATCTGTCTTCTTTTTCACGTTTTAGTTTTCACTTTCCATAATATCAATGGGATGGGAGGGGGTCATTCCTGCATTTATAGAAATGGCAACTCCCATGGCAATGGTATTCCACAATTCTAGATCATATCAGCCATGAGAATTTTGAAGCAGCACAGAGGCTATACTGTACCTACTGCATTTTACTGTTCCAATCACGCTTATATAAATTCTCTTTACAGGTGTTCTTGAGGTAGTTTGACATTCTGTGGGTTGCATATGCTTTTTACATTTTTCGACATAGAATAGTGAAGACAGTGCAGACAAAGTTTCAACTTTGATGTGTACATTAGCCTACTGCTGATATTGACTGTCGCAGGTGCATCAGCCTACTGATTTTGTTCTAAGATTATGATTGATCCTAATATATATATATATATCCACCTTCTCAAGGAATATTTCAAAATTTTGTTGATCCGTGCGATTGCAAAATTTTGTAGTGCTTCATAATGTTTCTAATCTTAATTTGAGTAACTTGATGAATTATGTATGTGCTGGGTGATTCTGGTAATCTTGTTATCCCACAACAGATTTGAGATAGACTGCATTCCTTGGCTTTATTTTTGCCACTGTTGATGGTCCATCAAGTTGTCATTGATAAGCATTGTGTTTTCAACATCATTTTTCTCGTGTTATATGAATCCAAGAAAATTAAATGTGTGATCATGGACATCGTGCTGGAGTTTTGCACTTTTTTTATTTTTATTTTTCCAATTTACATATCCAGTGAAAAGATGTTGTTTGCATAATCTAATTGTATCGAGAGCCATTGAATCTTCATGTCAATACCCTTTGCATTGTTTTATAACAGTTGGTTCAACATTTTAGGATGCTCGGCAGAGGCCTGACGCAAAGACGTTACTTTCACACCCTTGGATCCAAAACTCAAGGCGCGCGCTGCAGACTTCTTTACGTCATAGTGGAACACTAAAGTATAGCACCACTGATTCTATTTCTGTCTGTCCTTGACATTCCTTTGCTCGTTTTTACTTGCTTATTAGACAGATACCATTCACATTTGAAATTATTATCCAGATTGTGCAGGGCTCCTCTCTGTTTTTTCAACAAATTTGAGCTTACTGTTTTGTGTTTCTTTGTGAACTGTAACAACTCCACTATTTGTTATCATCCACAGCGATTTTGTGCTTGCTCATTCAATAACAAATGTCAGCATAATATTTTTGTGTTTTTTTTAGTGCAAAAGTATGTATGCATATTTGTTCAAATCATTTTGTGATGACAATTCATTTGTCCATTAGATATGTGAAGTTGTGGGATTATTTGGCATCATTCTTTAAAGTTATTTTGTTGAGGCATTGACTAATGGGTTTGAAGAATTCAGCCTCACCTGAATTTCTCTATATTCTAGGAAACCTGAAGTTCGGAATATGGTTCACCACTACGTGAACGCAATTCATGAATCATGATTATACTGACTAGTTTATGGACCCTCCATATCGAGAACACTAGGACTAAAATTTTCATAATTAACCTGAATTTCTCTATATCCTCGTAAGCTGAAGTTCTGAATATGGCTCACCACTACGTGTACATAATTCATGAATCATGATTATACTGATTATTTTACGGGCCCTCCATATCGAGAACACTTGGACTATAAAATTTTTGTAGTTACACTAGTTATCCACCTGATTAAATTAGTTGATCTGTGCTACACGATACCTATTCTCTTCTTTGCTGCTCTCTTGCCATCCCAGAATAATGGTTAGTTCCTTTTTAGATTGTATTGTTGTCTTGTACTGCATCTAACTTTTGGACCACGGTTCAATTGAAGCAATACATTTCTCCGTGTCTTGCTGCTCTTTATAGCAACTTCCCTTAATCAGTATTAATTCTGAATCTATTAAATGATGCTGTTGAAGTTCCGTCCGACAAATGATGAAGCAATCTCTGTGTTTATAAATTCCACAATTTTGCAGGAACATGGAGGAGGTTGGTTCAGGGGATGCTGCTTCAAGCAGTAGTGGGAAAGGGCGTACTGTGGAGACATCTTCTACTGAGAAAGTAAAGTAATTCTTAACTGAAGCTTCCGTGTTCCTTGATGTTTTTAGTCTAGCACTGCCAACCGGGCTGGGCCGGTGGGCTGGCTTAAAACTTGTTGGTGCCTGACTGCCTTGTTTATAGTTTGTGGCCTGTGGATCGTCTTATCTTTAAAAAAAATGTTCTTTTTGT